GTTCCTGCTCCCGGTGGTTGGAACCTTTATTCCACTCTGGATTCTTGTGAGTGTAGTCTTTGTTCGCTTCACAATAAAAAAGAAATAAACAGTTTTGAAAACTTCTGTATTCATTCTTTTCCTGCTTTGTGTGTCAACGTTCACGGTTGCTAAGCAACAGAGCATACGGCGGTAAAACCCGCCGAAGGGTAGACCTGGTTGAATTCACAGCCTAAACTCTTCTGGCCTCCTTATTTTCAAGGACTTCGAAGGATCCAGTCTAGGTAGACCGCGTCCTTGGAGGATGCGTCCTAGGTTTTCGAACAGAGCCTCAGTGAAATACTCACCTCTGCTGTTTCACTCTCCCAAGCAGGTGTGTACAGGACTGTACCATTGGATAATTGAAGAGGGGGGAGGTTGATCTGATGTATGGTGTTTTCTTTATTGAGTTTGAGTTTTTGTTTGGATTGAATTAAAATATATATATAAAATATATTTCTTAAGTAGTTGTTTGTTTAAACCACATTTCCTTTTCTTCTTATTGTGAAGCTGAACATCCTTTTTAAAAATGGTTTCTTCCAATTTAGTTCCTCCTCTATTTAAGAAACCTGTCTGCCATTGTTCTGGGTTGGTGTGGTGTGGTTGATGTCCTGCACAAGAAGAAAATTAAAGTTTTGTCTGCTGAAAACTCTTCAAAGCATGTTCTTCTTTCAACCAGTTTGGGTCCCGCCTCCAAGACTGCTTGGCCTCCTGACAAGCATGTGACAGTCCCTTACAAATGGAGGTCCTAAAAGTAGCAGCAGCAGCAACCCAGACTGACACAGTTCTGGAGGGCTTTACCGTAATAACAGGAGAAGCAGCGCAAGTGACTTTTAGGTACTGTCGTTGGACAACATGCGGTAATTTATAAATGTTTTAAATCAGGTTGGGTCCGGATTAGCCAGCAGGGGGGTCCAGATCCGGACCGGGGTCCGCTAATCTGTGACCTCTGACCTAAGGTTATGATGTACCAAAAAAAAAAAGTTTCTTTTATTCTCAGGATGTTTTTCATGAATTTCTTATAGAAGCACTTTTATTATTTTTTTTTATATATTCGGGCAAGTTGGTATTTCTTGTTATTGAATTGACATTTTAATTTTTCCCACAAAATATCCTTATTTTTTTTATGTTACACAGGTAATAAGGTCTCCTCCTGGATTCTAATAATGTTTTATTTCACTCAGTGCCCTATAAAGGGGTAAAGGTAATTAGAAACCCCACTGACCTCACTGCTGCCAGCCGCACTTTAATGCTGGACTCTGATAGGCCGCTAACTATTCGGTCCATCATGTTTTCCGTCTCTGTGATCTGAGGAGAAGGAAGAGCGTGGATCAGAACGTCTGCCACTCGTATGCAGAGAACATTAAAACAAAGTGAACCTTTTTCCGGATGTCCTCGTCGTTTGAGCCCAGGGAGGCGTAGAGCTTGAAAGCAGCTTGTCTCAGCTCATGTGCATGTTTGAGGTCATGGTCCAGCTGCAAAGGACAGCAGGCATCATTATTAACCACAAAAGCAATTAAAAAAAGAAAAAAAAACACTAATTAGGGAAGAAAAAGAGAACGGAGATTAAAAGAGAAGGTCCAAAGCAAGCAGTTTATAAATGAGATTTCTAATTTATTCCACAGTAAATAGCCCATTATCTGCATTCTCAGTCAACATCCTGCTCGTTTGATGGTAAAGTTCTAAGTGTTGCAGAAATGAGGCTGATCCTTTAAATCCCTGTTTTTAGTCTCTGTGTTTATTTTAACTTTGGCAGATTCCTTGAACATTACCATGGAGTATTAGGGCCAGGCTAGAGATTGTTTTTTTGTATTTCAATAATAAAGTCATAAAATTATGAGAATAAAGTCCCTACAAGCATGCTTAGTGTGAGGGATTGCTGAAGAGTCAATGAGTCGATGCAATCAGCTGGTTTTCCTTAGATAGAAAACTTTGAATCAATCTGACTGGATGATCTGGTTGAACTGGAAAGTGCCTTGAGATGAAATATGTTGAGAATTGGTGCTGTAGAAATAAACTGAATAGAATTAAATGTTAGGCAGCAAAGCATCTATTCCAGGGGTCGGCAACCCAAACTGCTCAAAGAGCAATATTGGACCAAAAAATAAAAAATAAATAAATCTGTCTGGAGCCGCAAAAATGTAAAAGTCTTATATAAGCCTCGTATAGCAACACGGGCTCTAAGTGTTTTATCCCTCTATAGAAAAGGACTATATGGGCTTAAATATATAATAAGCATTCACGATTAAATGTTTATCCTGAAGCAAATGTCACATAGTACCTTGAGGTGACGGAGGAACAGTGAACCTTCACCGCGTGGTTTAAGTTTTCTTGCAATGATGAAATTATAGAAACACAATAAAGGAATCTTTCTATGGTGGACGTGTTTCTGTTGGGAGGAGCTGATGGAGGAACCAAGCAGGAAGTGACATCAGAGCTGTGCTCTCTAACCCCGAAATCCCACATCCTTCGTCACCATCGTTCCTTGGTCTGATTAATGTTTTTAGGATTTGGGGAAAAAATGGAAGAAAGTTCAGATACCTGCATCAGAGCGCTAGCTGTTTGATCTGTGGACGGTTTTCCATCCTTGCAACAAAACTAGCAGCAGTAGTGGAGATTGGAAATACAATCCACTTTTTAAATCTATCTTTGCTCTCCTCTAATTTATCTTGCAATCGCACTTTTTCTCTCCCTCCCAGCTTGGCGGTCAGCTGCACATTTAGCCTTCCCTGGAAAAGCCTTTCCAAATTTTTATTTTTATTTTTTGACACCCTCTCATGACGAAGCAAAAACGCAGGAAATCCTTCTGCATTGATAATGAAAGCAAATGATTCGGTCTCTTTGAATCCTCATTTCTTATCAACCATTTTCCTTTTTTCCCTTTGGGATTCATATTCCGAGACACACCTGCAGCTTTGTTAGCCAGGCACCGCGCCACGCTGGTTCCAAGTTAGGATCAATGATCTCTATGGCTTTGACGCCAATTATTGTTTACATTTATTTATAATACAAATGTTTAAAGCATTGGAAAACATTAATTAATTTTTGTTTGACCTCCTGCACACCATATTAAAACAAAAAAAAATGATTTTCATACAATTTTTGAAAAAGCTCCAGGGAGCCACAAGGGGGCGCTTAAAGAGCCGCAGGTTGCCGACCCCTGATCTATTCAGACCCACTGACCCACCCTCTTGATGTCTGTGATGGCGGACACAGAGCTGGGGTACTTGAAGTAGTCGGCCAGCATGGCCACCAGGTGGTCAGTGGTGCTGGCGATCCTCTGCAGCTCCACGTCAGGCTCCATCAGGTAGGCCAGGGTTTCTGCACCCTCCACCCTCTCCTCCAGCAAATGCTCTTTACTGCACATCCGTACGAGGCAGGGCAACGTCTGAACAAACAACAGGGAGTCATGTCACACAGGAACGGATCACCGCTGGTAGTTAGAGGAAGAAGGAAGCCCCACCTTCAGCACTATGCAGCCGTCGTCCGTCCGGATGGCTCCTGCTCGACACATGTAGGTCAGACTGGGACAGAGACGGCAGGCAGACATGAAGTGGCCGTGCACGACGGATACGTTTATATCATCGTTTAATTTGATCGCTCACCATTTGGCTGCCGTCAGCTGCATTTCAACAGGCTGATCCCTTTGCATCATCCTAACAAATACCTGAGGGAGCTGCTCGCCGTCCACCAGCACTGGCATCGACAAAACAATCAGATTTCAGTGGAGGAGAAAGATTGGACGGAGAAAAAAAACCAGGAGTCAAGCTCACCATTCACCAGCGTCATGGAGACCAGAGTGTTCTCGTAGGCCAGGACTGAGAAACACTTTAACGCCTGCATCCGGACCTGCGGAGGAAATGAGGGTGATCTACGGAGCGGCGACAGCGGGAACCGGTCAGGGGGAGCACCTACCTTATAAGAGGATGAAATGAGCAGCGGGGCGATGTTCTGGATGGCACCGTGGTTGAACAGGACCGTCTGGTGCTCCGGGGTCTGCAAACAGAACGACAGCCACCGATTGTGGGTCTGGCTGCACGGCAGTCGGCTCCACAGTGTTAGCGTGTGATTAAATACCTTACAACAGTGGGAGAAGATCTGGGTGATGTACTCCTGGGTTCTCTGGGAGTTACTCAGCAGAGACATCAGATGAGGAATCACAGTGGGGTCCTTCAGGGAATCACAGCGTTCCATCAGAACACAGTTATTACAAAAGAGGTGACAATTTATGGGAATAAAACAGGTCAAAGGTTACAGGGTGACCTACAGTATACAGCAGCTGGACAGGCGTCACAGGACTGATGAAGACCGTTCTGAGACATCGAAGACAGGCTTCAGTGAAGACCAGATCTGGACACAAGAGACCTGCAAAGACAAAACGATCAGCGTTCTGCTCCTGTCCTCTGATCAGCATGCAGGGCACTGTGGGGGGCTTAACCTTGCAGCAGGGTGGGGATGATGTGACAGTCCACCAGGGACTTGATGTTGTTCTCCGTTCCCATGGCTAAGCTGCCCAGAACCACGGCGCACTCGGTCCTCAGCTGAAGGCTGGAGGAGCTTTGCTGGAGAAGGTAAAGCAGCCTGGAGGCAGAAAGAGAACAAAACTAAAGCTCCTGTCAAACCTAAACCATTTAGACCAGCGTATACCTGACGTAGGAAAATCCTGGCAAAAACACTGGCTTACGCTGGAAAGGTTATGAGCACGCTGAACTACGCTGGCTTACGTAGACATACAGCGAGAACGTTGAGAGCGTCTGCCATACGTTTAGTGTCCAGTTCCAGGTCAGTTATCTGATGGTTGACATCCGTTCAGTATCAGTTCCTCATCAGTCGTGGCGTCTAGCTGATCCTAAACCTCTGAGTAACTTATCCAGAACTTCTCTCCAACATATCAGCGTATCTGACGTGTTCCAGACGAGCGCTGAACGTGTTTCTAACTTCCAGCTACTGTATAATGGCGTATTGGCAGCGTTTTGGTATAAAGGGGGTTCACAGGAGGAAACCGTC